ATTTGTAATTTCTTGTGATATATAGTTTTTCATTTTCTTATAAGTCATTTGTAATAATCAATTCCGTGATACATATTCTTGAAATATATTTTGTACAGCAATCATTTTGGTATATTCTTTTCTTTTTCAACTTTTCAACGCCGTAAAATCGATAAAAATACCTCAAAAAAACCATATTAGTAATATACAGAAAATTGATTACAAATATATTCCAAATTATTAGAGATTGACATGAAAGCAGATTTGCTCGATTTAAATTTCCCGCTCGTTTGCACAACCAATTTAAAGGGTCAACGTTTTCGAGAGGACAAAGGTGCCGACAGAGACTAATTGTAAGTTTACACCGAGGGTTCAAATCGGGTTAGAGTCGGATTAGAGTCGGGTTGAGGTGAGCGCTCTTACGGTGGAAACACCAAAGTTTTAGTTGAACTCTACCCTATAAAATTGTGGGGAAGGATAGTAACTACGCGTGCCGTTGTGTACGAGATCTTTATTACGACTGTAATCCCATAGCGTCTCCCACCGTTGGCGTCATACCAACCTACGAGAGGCATGAGTACAAGCCCTAAGATTTAGGCTTACGATACCAGCGCCACACTAGGAACTATGTGTCCCCTACACCACCCCCCTCGCCAAAAACGGCGTTACATACAAAAATCTTTGATATGCCTTTGGCGATGCTTCATACGTTTAAATTAAAACGCACAGATTTCTTAGGCTTTTCTTTATATAGTAACTTATGTCCTAACTTATCTTCTAACTTATCCCCTAACTTAACTTCTAACTTAACTCCTAATCCAGAATTGACTTCTGCCAGAACAAATGCTGGTTTTAACCTATCTATTGACACTGTTACATCTCGCTCGCAAATTCGCACAACGAATGTTTTATCCCCACGACTAATTACAGAGTACGGTCCGTCGTAAGGCGGTTGCAAGAGTTTTTTCACTGCATCGCGTCGCACCATTACGTGCGATGCCGTATTTAAGTCTTTAAAAATGAATACACTCTTTCTTCCGTGTTCTCCGACCTTGACCGGCCGAAAAGATTTCATATGGTTCCGGAAGTATTCTACAAAACGTGAGTGCTCCTGGGTATCGTCTCCTTGAATCATGTCTCCCGGCAAACGTAAGGCTTCGCCGTAGATCAATTCTGCTACAGATGCTTTAGCATCTTCCTTAACGACTGCTCGTATTCCGAGTAACACGATAGGCAGAACATCTACCCAACCGCTGTCGGCATGACAGCTGATAGCTGCTTTCAGCTGACGATGGAAGCGCTCCACCGTTCCGTTGGCCTGCGGATTGTACGCAGTTGTTCTATGATGTTCCATTCCTAGCGCCCGCGCCAACGACTTAAATAGGTACGACTCGAACTGACGTCCTTGATCCGTTGTTATTCTTAATGGAACACCAAACCTTGCAATCCAGCCTTCCAGTAACGTCCGCGCCACGGTCTCCGCGCTGACGTCGTTTACTGGATAAGCCTCTGGCCATCTTGAGTACCTGTCGACGACCGTCACGCAATACGTGTAGCCGCGTGACATTGGCAGAGGTCCTGTGATGTCCACGTGAATGTGCTCAAAATGCGCGGTGGTGGTTACAAAACTCCCAACCGGCGTTGCTACGTGCCTGCTTATCTTCGCCCGTTGGCAATCGAGACACGCCCTTGCCCACTGTCGGCAATCCTTCTTTACCGACGGCCAAACATAACGTTCGGTAATTAATTTGGTTGATGCCCTCGGCCCCGGATGCGACAAATCGTGCAAACGACGAAATAAGCTTTTCCTAAATTGTTGACATATGAACGGGCGAGCGCGCCCGGTCGATACATCACAATAAATATCCAAGTCGGTATCTATTAATCTCACCTTGCGTAGCAATAAACTACCTGGATTTTTCAATAAATTCCTTAACTCGTCGTCGCTTTGCTGCACTGCCGCTAAGGCCTCGTAATCAAGAGGCGAGACAACCTCCTCGATCCGCGACAACGCGTCTGCCACGACGTTGTCTTTTCCGGACACATGTTGGATATCCGTTGTATATTGGGCAATTAAACTTAAATGTCTAAATTGCATCGGCGTGCACCTCTCGGGCTTCTGCTGCACGGCGAACGTCAACGGCTTGTGGTCTGTGTATACCGTGAACTGCCTACCTTCTAACGCGTGCCTAAAATACTTGATAGCAGAATATACAGCTAGCAGCTCCCGGTCATACGCACTGTACTTCCTTTGGGCTGTGTTTAGCTTCCTAGAAAAGAAGGCTAGCGGTTGCCAGTTGCCCTGAACGTGCTGCTGCAATGCTGCGCCCATCGCCGCGTTCGATGCATCTACTATAATACTTAACCTAGCTCGCGCCTCCGGATGCGCTAAATATGTCGCGTTGGCCAAAGCCTCTTTAGTTCGACGGAACGCAGTTTCCGCTTCCTCGGACCAAATAACTACTCGTTTACCACTACCCCCTCCCTGGCACTTTACCAGCAGGGCCTGAACAGTCGCTGCTCCTGGGATGAATCGTCTATAAAAATTAACCATCCCCAGGAACCGACTTAACTCCGATTGAGTCTCTGGCTTCGGAAAATCTATTATGGCCTTGACCTTCTCCGGCAAAGGTTTTACGCCATTTTTATCTACTAGATATCCTAAAAACTTAACGCTATTTACATTGAATACAGACTTCGCGCTATTTATAACGATATTATAATCCGCAAGTCTTTTAAATAGTAGATCTAAATGTCTCAAATGTTCAGTTTTGTCCTTAGATGCGATTAAAATATCGTCTATATACACATACACTAAGTCTAATCCGGAGTTTGAATCGAACTGTGATAGCGAGCAGACGTGTTTACTATCATCGTCCATGTTGTGAGCGCGAGTGCCATATACCGTGTGAATTCAAAGTATACTTCCATAACTGTTTGTGCCACCGAGAATTATTGAAAATCAGTTAATTAACGTATTCCTACCCTCTAACCAATGTTTTCGCCTCCCTCGGTGCAATCTATTCACCGAAATGGCATCTATCCGTGAAAAACTAGTACCCCAAGGTAACAATACCGAATCTAATGTACAACGACTTAGCTACAATAAAGTGGTGCAAAGCGATTGCTTTCCCAAAAAAGATCAGGCGATAATAATCGAAGCCAAAGACGGGATACAGTTGAAAGAATACGCAAAGGCAGTGGGCAGAATTACAAATCCAGCAAATATTAGATTTATGTCAAGAGTATTGAACGGTAGAATTTGTGTTTTCTTAGCGAGCAAAGAGATCGCAGACAACCTCACCGATAAACACAAATACTTCAAGGTGAACGGTACTGATTTAACCTTAAGACCATTAATCAGCAAAGCCCAGCGTATAATACTGTCAAATGTCTGTCCAACAATCCCTCACTCGAAGATTGAAGAAATTTTCGACAAAATTGGAATTAAAAGGGAATCAGCTATCTCCTTTTTAAGAGCTGGCATGGCAGAAGAAGGCTTCACGCATATTCTCAGTTTTCGACGCCAAGTATATGTTCATCCAGATGATGCACACAAAATTCCGGAGTCGATTAAAATTGAACACGAACAAACCACGTACTGGATTTACCCCTCGACAGACACATTAAAATGTTTCCTATGTAGCCAAGAAGGATATGTGGCAAAAAATTGCAAATCTGAGGATAAACAGCCTACTCCTTTTGAATCACAACAAGCAAGTGCTTACACCAAATCGCAAAGTGCAAATATAGCCCCACCTGGACCCAAAGTTAACGATACGGACAGATTAAAGAAACCAGAAATCCCTTTCAGCAATTGCAAAGAGTGCAAGAGAAACTCCTAGAAAAGCGCCCTGCACTCGTCAATCGCAGAAATGTCATTCTTTTACACGACAACGCGCGACCGCATACAGCAAGGGTGACTCAAGAAAAAATTCTTGAGCTTGGATGGTCTGTTTTACCATATCCACCTTACTCCTCAGATCTTGCCCCGACAGACTACCACCTTTTCTGTTCCTTACAAAACTTTTTAAATGGAAAAACCTTCAATTCTGAAGAGCAAGTCAGGCAGGCTGTTGAAAGCTTCTTCCAGTCCAAACCAACCACATTTTACAAGGGAGGAATTGATAAACTACCAGGAAAATGGGACAAGGTTATAGAAAATAGTGGTGAATATATAATAAAATAATATAATTTTGTTGTTTAATGAGAACGAAATAAATGTCTGATAAAAGAACGGAAGTTACTTATGACTCGACCTAATAGAAGTTCTTGCGAACTTCATGAAAAATCTTTACCCTTACCTCACGGATCGCTGTATTAAAAACCGATTCACAAGAATCATTAAAAGGTTAACAAAACCTACTGATGCGAATCTCCCAACAAGCTCTCCTGCTCTTTCGGAATGTTCAGACACTCCTCAGTGCTCAGAAGACGAATGTAACAATTGACTCAATCAATCAACTTAATATAAAAAATACCTCAAGTAACTCTAAATGCAAAAGAAAATCGTTCAATGGAATGTAAATAGTTTAAAAACAAGGTTTGAATTTTTACAAAAACTTCTCCAAGATCATCGGCCACGTGTATTATGTTTGCAGGAGACCAATTTCAAAACAAATGAATCTATTAATATTAAAAGTTTCAATGTAGTTAAGAAAAATAGAAGGAACGCCTCGATTGCGAGCGGTGGAGTAGCAATTTATATGAAACAAAGCTTACATTATACAGAAGTACCCCTAAATACAAATATTGAAGAAATTGCAGTTTCGATCATTCTGCATCAAAGGGAAGTATGTATATGCAACGTATATATTCCCAATAATTATCAATTTCAAGAAGCTGAACTAATCGACCTGATAGAGCAACTTCCCAAATCTTTCTTATTAGTGGGAGATTTCAACAGCCACAATACAATATGGGGATCCACAAACATTGATGCTAGAGGAAAAATAATCGAAAATATAATACTTAAAACAGGTATCGTATTATTGAATACCACCGAACCCACTCATTTCAATATGTCAAATGGCTCTTACAGTGCTATAGACTTGACTTTTTGTAGTCCAAACATTTACGATAACATCGAATACACAACTTCAACCGAGTTATATAACAGCGATCATTTTCCCATATTCGTAGAGTTTATCGATAACAATACTGGTATCCCCATAGCCCAACCTACGTGGAAATTTAAAAAAGCGGACTGGATACTATACCAAGAGGAAGTAAATCAAAATCTACCTTCATTAAAAGCCCCTAATTCCACAAATTGTATGGAAATAAATCAAATATTAAAAGAATTTGAAGAATTAATCATTCAAGCAGCAGGAAAATCGATACCGAAAACATCAAATGCTATAGTAAAGAACAACCTCCCATGGTGGAATAATGAATGCCACGAAGCAATTAAAGAGAAGAAATACGCTTTTAATGTGTACAAGAAACATAAAACTGACATAAACTTAATAGAATTTAAGCGGGTAAGGGCCAAAGCTAGAAAAGTCCTTAAACAAGCGAAGAAGGATGCATGGATCAATTACATTTCATCTTTAACAAAGAACACTCCATGTGACAAAATGTGGAATAAATTGAAGAAAATAAATGGCCAGAAGGTAAACTCTCAAATTACTGCAATCAAAGGCATTGACAACTCTATTATTACAGACTCCATAGAAATGGCCAACCTATTAGCCACTACATTCGCAAAAAATTCAAGTAATGAACACTTCGACCCGAACTTCCTCAAAATTAAAGACAGTGTCGAAGAAAGTGCAAGGATCGAACCAATCGACTCCCTAGCAAAAAACCATCCCCTTAACACAGAAATCTCGTTTGCCGAATTGCAATCTGTATTACTAGTCCAAGACCTGACAACATTCCAAACGTTTTTATACAACAATTATCAAAAAAAGGACTAAACTATTTATTAGACTTATACAACTGTATATGGCTGAATGGTGTCTTCCCCGACAAATGGCAAGAAGCAATAGTGGTCCCCATACTAAAACCTGGGAAAAATAAACTGCAAGTCGACAGTTACAGACCTATTGCCCTAACATGTTGTCTATGCAAGCTGTTAGAAAAGATATTATGTAAAAGATTACGATGGTATCTAGTAGTTAATAACCTACTAGAAAGAAATCAAAACGGGTTCAGACAACACTGCTCGACAATCGACAGCCTCACAATGTTAGATACCAATATCTGTGAAGCTTTTCTTAAAAAACGGCACCTAGTAGCTATATGTTTAGATATTGAAAAGGCGTATGACATGGTTTGGAGGCATAGAATTATCCAACAGTTACAAAAATGGAACATTAATGGTTTTATGTTACAGTTTATATATAATTTTCTAAAAAATAGATCCATATACGTCCGTGTCAACGGAAACTTATCCAAGAAAACAGAAATCCGAAACGGGCTACCAGCATAGAATTATCCAACAGTTACAAAAATGGAACATTAATGGTTTTATGTTACAGTTTATATATAATTTTCTAAAAAATAGATCCATATACGTCCGTGTCAACGGAAATTTATCCAAAAAAACGGAAATCCGAAACGGGGTACCCCAGGGATCTGTACTAAGCGTAATTTTATTCTTGATTGCCATAAACGATATCACCGAAGTTTTTTCTAAACCAGTTAAGTATACCATCTTCGCTGATGACTGCACTTTCTTCATTACAGGAACAAATTTAAGCACCATGCAACAAATCCTTCAGGATATATTAGACAAACTTCAAAAATTCTCGTTACAAACAGGATTTAAATTTTCCCAAAACAAAACCACCGACACAATCTTTTCAAAACAAAGAAAAATTCATAACCATAAACTACAGCTACATTTAGGTCAGCATCAACTCAACACAACAGACACTCCAAAAATCCTCGGCCTAACCTTTGACAAACACCACACATGGATACCGTTTCTTAAAAGGCTTAAAGAAGAGTGTGTTAAAAGACTAAATATGTTAAAAGTTATTGCTTCGAAAAATTGGGGAGCGAAATTCGAAGTTCTAATTAATTCATACAAGGCCTTAGGTCTGTCCAAACTTGATTACGGGTCAGTTGTCTATAGTTCTGCAAAACCAAGTTTATTAGCACCGATACATAGCGCTGGAGCGAGAATAGCTACTGGAGCTTACCGAACAAGTCCGGTCATAGCAATTCTGTGTGAAGCCAATCTAACATCATTAGAAGTTCGAAGAAAGCAATTAAGCTTATCGTACACAGCAACCAGATTTGCAGCACCGTCAAATCCTATCTATGATCAACTAACTGCCACCACCCTCTTCAATGATTTCAAAAAAAAGCATAACTTACCGAAACCGATAAGCGTTAGAATTAAAACACACCTACAAGAATTAAACATTGATATACCAACAATTATACCAAGGAAACAGTACCAAATTCCACCATGGACGATAAAACCTCCTTGCATACTCGATAAAATTCTAAAAACGGATAAAAAAACTAATCCAAACGTGGTCAGAAGTTTATACAATGAATTATCGAATGAGTATCCAAACCATATACAAATCTTTACCGATGCCTCAAAATCGAAGGAGGGGATTGGATGCGCAGTATGTACTCTTGAATGCGAGCTGTCTTTCAGACTCCCTGAAGCATTTACAGTGGTCTCTAGCGAAGCATTTGCCATATTACAAGCTCTAAAATACATACAAAAAACAACACATAAT